TGTTCATAAGGGGATTATATGTGTCACATGAGCTATTCTATTTATTCTTTTACTCAGTAACTAAACATGTTCCTTTTTTGCTCAATATATAATCAATTAGGTCAAAACAACAACATTTGTGTTTATTCAGTCATTATTTAGCACAGCTGCATTTTTAAAGCAAGGGTCAATGTCTATTCTTTTCAAATTTAGCTGACGGAAAAGAATTTAGAGCTTCAATGTTATGGAAAGACACTCTTGATACAAGAGAAAACTTACTACTTACATCCTGACAATTTAATAAAAAACTAAAACTGGATGCGATTATCAGAATGAAAAAGAAAAGAGAGATAAATCTGCAGTTATTAATCTTCTAGCCTTAAGTAAACTTTAACCCTAGAGTGGATAAAACTTCTTACTAACAAATTCCACTAAACTCTCCATCCTTTAGCTCTAGGAAACTACAGTGTTATAATAATGCTCATTAAAGCTGTACATTATGACTGAACCATATCCTCCTTGTTTCCAGCCATTATCCCGGATCAACATTCGTAGAGTAAGCGGATAAGACTGAGTCACATCCAGCAGTTTATACCTCGCAAAACCGTGAGAAAATGGCTCTGAAATTCAAAGTTGGGGCCAGTGACCTGCCCCCATCCGATTAGCTGTCGCTATGGAGAAAAAATGTGGATTTTTTCATTTCAATCCTTATATGAATGAAAAGAAGGAAATTGCTATAGACTGGAAACCTGAAAATAATCCCTCCTTTAAATTTAGGTTACAGAACTTAAATTGTAAAATGCATTTTTCAATCAATCCTGAGATGCAAAATATGATAATGACTAAAATAGTGAATAGACATGCATCTTAGTGTGGCAGAGCATCTCAGAGGGTGAATGAACTGCTGTAACAGCATCACTCAACACCGGTATACACTGCCACCTAGTGGCTGTCTTGGTAAACACTTATGTTTGACATTCTTTGCTTCATTTTCATTCCCCTATGGTTACAAACTAAGAGTTTTCCCCATTGTTTTTATTTTCTGTAGTCACCTTACCTTGTCTTCATGTAGAGCTTGGCCCAGCTCGACAACATGTGGATCAGAGGACCTGGTGTCAGTCACAGTGGGATTTATCTGGAACGAAAAGGAAAAAAATATTATAATAATATGACTACGAAAAGAAACTTGCTACAATTACAGGAGATTTAAACTGCAAAAAATCTTAAAACTGAAACCAAGTAAATTATTACATTAATTACAAGATAAAAGAAAGAAAGAAAAAGTCACAGATGTAGTTTTTGTTTAAACATCAGAATTATTAACTATTAATTATTATTTTAATGCGGGGGTTGAAGTAGTAGAGACCTGGATGGGGGTGGGCTGTGGGTGGTGGAGGTGAGGTGTTCTGGGGTGGATGTCCGACAGGTGGGGTGGCGGATTAGGGGTTGATCTCCGGCTATGATGTTGCAGCAGGTCCTGATAAGGTTTACTGTCAAAGTTTGTCTTCCAGAGCAGCACCTGCAGCAGAATCCACAGGAAGCAAATTTAAAACATATATGTATTTTTTATTTTTTTTCAAATGTATAAAAGTAAAAAAAAAAAAAAAAAAAAAAAAAAAAAATTCAATTTTCAATCACTGCCATAGCTAGCAGTACTTTTTCATGCATTATATCAGTCAGATTCTGAGGCTTACTGAATTCAATGCTTATATTGTATTCTGAGCGACCATGCCTTAACCCTCTTGGCACCTGATTCTTTTTAGACTTTTCTCATAATTCATCTTGAGCAATATTTTACCTCTGGCCACATGATCCTGTTATGGCAAATATTAAGGGAACAACAACAAAAAGTAAAACAAAATAAAGAAATATAATACACCTTCTAATTTTAATCAAAAAGCCTTGAGTCACTGCAAATCGTTTGGCTCTTACCTAGACGGAAAGATTTAGACAGAGGTATTAGATCATTTATCTTCTTTTAATAGTTACTGTCTTTTTCTAAGTGCAAATTCAAGTGAAATTATACAACTGCTGGGACACATAATTTCACCTGTTTTTAGTACCTTATCCGTCAGATGTTGTATTTTTTACTTGTTTTTAAACTCTCTTTTGCAATGTATGCAACCAGACTGAGCTACAAGCATAGAAACTCATTAAGTCGTCATACAAAAGAGGGCTCCTTTAAGCCGTCTGTAACAAACAAGCTCCTTTAAAGCGTTTAACTTCTTTCTCTTCTTCATACACAGCATTGAGTTCTTTTTAACCTCACAGCTGTCCAAATCCCGAGCAGCTGATTTACGGCTGCCTCCTTAATGGAGGCTTGAAGTAAAACCACATATCCGACTTGGTCGTCCTCGTCATAAATGACTTCCACTTGGCTCGGTGCATTCACCACTTTACTCCCCCACAGGATGTAATTGCAGGAAACAAGTTACAATTAGATACAGAGCAACACACTACTCCTGAGTGAACAAACCGACATCACTGTAAATGTCAGGATTTGTTCTAAAACCTGGATAAGAAGAGAACCATTCGAGCCCATGAAATCAGAGAGACTCTCGGAGCACTGCTATGCTCACCAAATGTTGCATTTCCTTTTATTTAAAGCAATGGATTATCAGTTTAATCTAATCCATCCGTTCTAACTATATGATGGAGGTAAAAACAGACAATATTGGCTCAGTTTTAATGGAACTGATACCAAATTTGAAAAAAAAAAAGAAGACAATTGGCCAATGCTAACAATAATTCCAATTAGTCAGACTCATAACCCAACTCTAAAGCTAACTGGAGTTACTAAAAAATAATAGACCGATACCAAATCCTTAGACTGACCTTGTATCAGTGTTGTATCGATGCAGCATAGTTCATCCCAAGGCTGGGCAATTAATAGCAATTACAATAGAGTCACCATTATACAAAATCCTGTTCATCTTCAAATTACAGAGGCACCACATTTTTGTCATGTCATGTTCCATATTTGCTGCATGTAAAGAACATGTTTAGCAAATGGTAATAAAAAATAAAAAACATTTTTTTTTCCATTTGAAAAAAATTCAATC